TAACCTGGTAGCCCCAGCCTTCCTCTTCTTAGTCAAGTCCCACCACGGGACTTGGCCTCTTCCGGGCTAAGGCCTCGCCCTGCAGTTTACAGAACTTAATATTTGGGAAGGACTGCCGGGCGCGGAGGCTCATGCCTGTAATCCCAGCACTTTGGGAGGCCCAGGAGGGTGGATCACCTGAGGTCAGGAGTTCAAGACCAGCCTGGCCAACATGGTGAAACCCTGTCTCTACTAAAAATACAAAAATTAGGCCGGGTGCGATGGCTCACACCTGTAATCTTAGCACTTTAGGAGGCCGGGACAGGTGGATTACCTAATGTCAGGAGTTCAAGACCAGCCTGGCCAACATGGCGAAACCCTGTCTCTACTTAAAATACAAAAATTAGCCAGACGTGGTGGTGTATGCCTGTAATCCCAGCTACTTGGGAGGCTGAAGCAGGAGAATCACTTGAACCCTGGAGGCAGAGGTTGCAATGAGCGGAGATCGTGCCATTGCACTCCAGGCTGGACTACAGAGAGAAGCAAGAGACTCTGTCTCAAAAAAAAAAAAAAAAAAAAAAGAAGAAAGAAAACAGCCGGGCGTGGTAGCGCCCGCCTGTAATCCCAGCTACTCAGGAGGCTGAGGCAGGAGAATCGCTTGAGCCTGGGAGGCGGAGGTTGCGGTGAGCTGAGATAGCGCCACTGCACTCCAGCCTGGGTGATAGAGCGAGACTCTGTCTCAGAAACATATATATATACATACACACACACACACATATATAGCAAGGAGCAAGCTAAGGTGGAGGCATAGAATGTATTTATCCTAAAAATTATTCATTGTTTACCCAAAATCCAAATTTAAGCGTCCTGTATATTTATCTGCTAAACCTGGTAACTCTATCAAGCTCTCCAGCTTCCCATGCTGAGTCCCCTGACCATGCTCTCCATTTCCTCGGCGGTCCCCGGGACAGCTGCCCCCCAACCCCCGCCACCGACCCACCCATGCAAACAAGACTAGCCCAGCACCTGGGCGCAGGAACCGGCCGAGTTCCCGGAAGTCCCGCCCCCCGTACCCGCTCGTGCGCTCCTGTAGCCGCACGTCTTCCAGGAACTGGTCAACCTCCAACCCCAGCGGCTCCTGAGCTAGCCGCCGCCAGCCCCGCTTCTTATTTCTTGGGCCTCGCCGCCGCCGCCTCAGCGCTGGGTCCACCGAAGTAGGCCGCAGCCCCAGGAAACCAGAATCGGCATCACTTTTCGAGCTGTGCTTCCCACCACCTCCACGGCCTCCTACCGCCATCTTGTCAAAGAAAGAATTCAGCCGCTGGCGTCCCAAAAAGCCCCTTTGCAGCGTGCGCGCGCAGATTTCCCACCCTCTTCCGTGACGTACTTCCTGTGGCAGCCATATTTGTAAAGTGACTAGAGTTGCCAGGAGGCTGTCATCTTGGTGAAGGATAAATGGCTACCCCTTCCTCCATTCTTTACAGCGGGATCTGAAGACTCCTAACGGCGGCGGGTGGTAGAAGAGAGATGGGAAGGTTGCAGTTTCTTGGCTCTCGCCCTTAACCGAACACCTGGCCGCCTGGGGTCTTCGCTCAAACTGATTTTTTTCTTTAATAGACAAGGTCTCACTTTGTTGCCCCCAGGCTGGAGTGCAGTGGAAGGGTAATAGCTCACTGAAGCCTCCAACTCCTAAACTCAGAGATCCTCCTACCTCAGTCTCCCAAGTAGCTGCGACCACAGAAGCGTGCAACCACACCTGGCTAATTTTTTATTTTTATTTTTTGTAGAAATGGAGCCTCCCCATGTTGCCCAGGCTGGTCTCGAACATCTGGTTTCAAGTGATCCTCTTTCCTAGACCTTCCAAAGTGCTGGGATTACAGCCTCACACCACCACTCCTGGTCCAAACTGATGTGGTTTTTTTTTCAAGAGACAAAGATCTCACTATGTTGTCCAGGCTGGTCTTGAACCCCAGGGCTCAAGTAATTCTCCCTCCTCAGCCTCCGAAAGTGCTCAGATTACAGATGTGAGCCACCATGCTCGGCCTTAAATTTTTTAATCTCGTTTTCTTCGAACAGTCAGTGGCAGATTCTGCACAGCACATGTTCCACTCTCAGTTTTGTCATCTCAAATGTTCCAATCCTAGGATCTTGGAAATCAAGTAACTTTCGGAATATCAAAGTTGGAAGCACAGAACATTAGAGGAATGTTAGAAACATACACTTTTAGGACCCTAGAAGTGCAGACTCAAGAATCATTCATCTTGAGCAGGCTACTTCACTGTGCCTCAGTTTCCTCATATGCAAAATAAGGATGATAATGGTACATCTGCCTCATAAATCATGCAGAAGATTAAACATATGTAAAGCACTTAAGGCTGCGTCTGGCATCTGAGTGTTAGCTGTTCTTAGTGCCTTGCCCTCTGAGGCTTCATCTTAGAATCAACTCATCTTTGCTATTTACAAATAAGGAAGGAAGCTCAGAGGCTCTTGGGCCCTGGCAGCCATTCAAAGGGATCCATGGCAGGGGGCGTGGTGATTCACGCCTGTAATCCCAGCACTTTGGGAGGCCGATGCAGGAGGATGGCTTGAGCCCAGGAATTCAAGACCAGCCTGGGCAACATAGTGAGATACTGTGTCTGCCAAAAATTTAAAAATTAGCCAGGCGTGGTGGTGTGCGCCTGTAGTCCCAGGTACTCAGGAGGCTAAGGTGGGAGGATCGCTTGAGCCCAGGAGTTGGAGGGTGCAGTGAGCCGTGATTGCACCATTGTACTTCAGCCTGGGTGACAGCAAGACCCTGTCTCAAAAACAAAACAAATCAGAGGGAACCAGACCTCATAAAAGTCACTTTGGACTCATAAAGGAAAAAGGCACAGAGAGGGAAGGCGCCACACTCATGGTCACACACAGCTGAACTCAGCTGGATCCTTGCGCAGAGCTTTGGAAAGGTGACAGGCCCTGGATCGTAGCCCCGGGACCTGAGCGCCCGACCGCCTGGGACGGAGATTTTGGAGACCACAGCCTGTCTTGTCTCCTGAACGTCCGCCAGGGGGCGCCGCGAGCCGCGAAACTGGGCCCGCGTGGGCGGGATGAGC